GAGTGCCGTAGGTTCCTTCCACTCTTGACAGAGAAAGAAATAGAGTATGTCTCACTGTTGCACAGAACATCCTTGCCTGTTTGCACTGTGCTCCTGTGTACATCTCAGTTGTGACAAATCCTACTCTGTTTATCTCTCCCAGTGGATCAGAATGAATTTCAGCCCTCTCTCAACCTCACATAGCCCTGAAGGTGAAATGAGTATTGAGTGCCGTGGATGACTGTCTGCCCTGGTGAAAATAGCAACTCTCTCCTGTTCTGTGCTTCTCACACAACCTGGCTTCCGAATCCACACCTTGCTCTCTCTATCTTTTGTCCTGAAAGGGGTAACTGATGCATCTCTCTAACTTCTCTCCCCTCCCATCTTCTTTCATCCTTGCAGAGGAAGTAGACCAGGGCAATGCATGAAGAATACTCCCAGATGCTGGAACCCACCTGCCTCACTACCACCCCAACCTATGGAGTGACATGAATAATGCCTGCAAGGAATGGGAAATTAACTTTACAAATAAATTAACTGTACTCACCAATGATTTTTGAACAGTTTATTCCCAATTCTGATTTTTTGTGCTCATCTTTCAGTCACAGCTTTAATCTCCCTGGCTTCTTAAGTTGAAGAGTATCCTATCCAGGAATGCCTGTGTGCAGTGTAGTAAGGCTGACAAGTGAGGAAGAAAAAAAAGAGGACCGAATTATTTAAGTTGGGGTCAGCCTTTCTAATGTATCTCTGTCTTTGCTATGTTCTTTGAACTTGTCACCTGTGATCCTGTATAATCAATGTAGAAGGACAGGTACTTCTTGGGAACAATTTCTCTCCCCTGGCTTAGAAACCATAACCATGATAGAATTGGTCTCTGCTGATGGCTATCCATGTGTCCCGCAAGTAGGCAGCCTGGATGATCAGCTAATGTTAAAAGAAATTCAACCTCTGTGATCTTCCCTGTAGGCAGCCCTTCTGGGATTGTTTCTTGTTTGTAGAAGAGTGGGAAGAGGCATAATCTGCCCTCTTCTAAGATTAGAGAGTGTATGGTGGCAGAAGGAATGTGTGCATGCATTATGCCTTCAGCTGCTAACTTAGCCTGTTCTCCAGTTGGAGCTTGTGCCTTCTTGTGGAAACTTCCATACCTTGTGTCTGCTGCTTCTGGGAGATTCCCAAGGAGAAGCTAATGGCATTTGCCTTTAACCTACTTGCCTAAGCCTAGTCTAAATGGCACATTTATTTAAATAATAGAGTTGCTTTGATGAAAGTCTCTATAGGCCTCCTAGATATCTCCAGGAATGCTCCCCTTTCCTTGGTTTTGTCTCATTAATTTGTGTGTTTAACCTTTTGAAATGCAGAAAGATCTTACATGACTGTTTATTCTCATGAAATGCTTATTGTTAGGTATCATGGCATACTGTGTATCCAAAGTATGTTCCATCCATTTTTTTTTAGTGAGCCTGTACAAACAATGTAATTGAGAATAAATAAAATTCTTCATCTATTTTGCTACATATTCATATTATGTCACTTTGTCTCCTGTGGTGTTTGGCATTTACACACTCAAGACCTTTACACACCTCATATTCAGAGAAGTCTATGGAATGAACCACCTTCAGTGCAAGCTGAACAATATTTCCAGTCCAGCTAATTGCATTTTTTTGATTTAGAAATAGTAAAACCATCTATTTTTTTTTACCAGGAGGCAATTACTTTTCCAAGTTCTGAAAACAACATAGGCTTTGGTTGCTGAATTAAGCTGTTTGAATTTTAGACCACTGTGATTTGCCTTTGAAGCATGCCATGCATGCTCCATGGGGATAGAAATTCAATATTCCAACATTCCTGTACTTCCTTTAGCCTTGCTGAAGTTTCCTAATGGTATACTATGGAGGGCATTCAAGAATGTGACTGGTGATTAACAGTCTGGTTGGGCAGAGAAATGTCAAACTGCTTCACAGATATGGAATGACCAGAGAGCTCCAAATGCCAAGTTATGTGGCTGTCCATGGGCAACAGGTGTTGACTAATTTAAAACCAGGCAGCAGCAAAACATGTTGATGGAACATACTCCAGTAATTTTACAGACTTTTAAATTAAATTGTCATGATGATCGCTTTGTTTCATTTGAGGCAGTAGAGATCCAATGCCATAACCATCCAGAGTTCATATACTTACCAGAAAGTAAACTAAAATGAAGGAGCTGTTGCCATCCATCTACAGTCTGCAGTAGAGGATGTTCTGTATTTGCAAACCTGTGTGTGAATGCACAAGTTTGCTGACCTGTCACTTCTGAACCTTCTTTACCCTAACTAATGGTCTCACTATATCACTTCAGCACAATCAGTTTCTCATGACCCATAGCAAAAGGACAGATATAAAAGGGGCCAGAGCAAACTGCATTCCTCACACAGTGAAGAATTCTGGCTCAAGAAGGGCAAAGAGAGTCTTGAGACATCCACGTGGATGATTATAATGCTAAGGACATCAGTGTCACTGAAACAAATACAAGTCCTTTGCTGCATCAGTGACTTAAATTTTTGACAATCTGGGTTTGTGTACATGACAGAAGCTACAAGAGGGACTCCTACAGCTCTTTTGCTTCAGCTTACTTTTGGAGGTTGAAAGGCACCTCTGCACATAGAAACATGTAAATAAAATACACACAGGGTTATATGACCTCTTAAAGTGAGACTGATTGCTCTTGCATCCCTGAGAGATCTAGACCAGAGAAAATGTGATCTTTCATAATCATGCATAATGTTTAACCCAAACTATCAGATGGGAATCCATGGCCTCTCCTCTGAATTCTGCTGAAGCACCCTAAGCCTAGTTGCGTGAGAGAAAAAAAAAAAAAGGATTAAAATTACTCAAAAAAACTAGAAGAGAGCTACAGGCTTCCAGTGAGGGGTAGAAGAAAAAGTTCTCATTAAAAATGCAAGTGTTTGGCTCATAGTGTGGTTCTTGATTGAAATTCTAAGATTATCTTGAGTGGCATCACTTGTCATGTACAGGAGAACCAGGCAACTAGACAGGAAAGGCAGGTCCTCCTTGACCAACCTGTTTTCCTTCTATGACAGGGTGACCCACTTAGTGGATGGGGAAAAGGATGTGGATGTTACCTGGATTTTAGTAAAGCCTTTAACACAATTTCCCATAGCATTCACTTGGAGAAACTGCCTGCCCATGGCTTGGACAGGTACACTTTTCACTGGTTGGAATGGTTGAGCCCAGGGAGTGGTGGTGAATGGTGCTACATCCAGCTGATCTCTGTGTTCAAGTAGTGTCCCCCAGGGCTCAGTCCTGGGGCCAGTCCTGTTTAATACCTTTATTGATGACCTGGATGAGGGGATCAAGTGCACTCTCAAAAGTTTGCAGAAGACACCAGGGTGGGTGGGAGAATTGACCTGCTGGAGGATAGGAAGGCTCTGCAGCAGGATTTGGACAGCCTGGATCAGTGAGCCTAGGCCAAGGATATGAGGTCCTACAGTTGGGTCCTACAGTTGGGTCACAACAACTCCATGTAACCCTACATGATTTAGCAGTGGACTTTGCAGTGCTGAGTTAACTGTAGGACTTGATGACCTTAAAGTTCTTGACCAACCTAAATAACCTGTGAATGACACTGTTAAGATCCCAGTCCCTCTCTGTTTTCACTTTAGCTGTTTAGAAGCAAGCAGACAATGTCTTCAGTGCTGGAGCAGGAAAGTCCACAGGTCTCCCCTTTACGTTTATCTGATCTGTTGTGAAAGATCACACTGTCCTTCCAACTCATAGCAGTGATTTCACAGTGAGATCAAAGGTGATATGTGATCAGAGGTTTATGTCCAAGAATCATCCTGCAGAAAACATCCTCTTTTAGAGGCAGAAAGACAAACTTCCAGTGCAGAATGGGTCAGGCAGGATTTCCTTTCTTCCTAGAGAACTGGGAAGCATGGACACAAATGTCTGAACTGCTAAAAGCTGTCTGCCTTCTGATATTCCCAAACACCACCTTGCCGTGGATGGCTCTGGACTGAAATCTCAGGCCATTACACAGTCAGAGATATGTATGGGAGGAGAGACAAGACACAGTAACAGGAAACAAAGCCAGACACATCTGATGATAAACAAGACTTAATTTATTTATAGTGTTACTTCCTTTTTGTTTTTGAAGTGTCCTCCTCTAGCGTTTCAATACCCCATCCTCAACAGGAAGATCTTCTAGGGGCAGAGACGAATAAGCTGATAAAGCAAGGCTCAGACAAGATGCCTTCTTCAGGAATTTCCCTGTTCAGCCTTCACTGGAGATTGGAAAAGGACAATGTGAGATAAGTATTCTGGTGGGCAGTGTCCATAGCCCTGGACATCTCTGTGTTCTGGTGGCTATGTGAGTTCAAGCCCTATTCAACTTTGGGAAAGTGCTTCACCTAAAAATGCCCAGTTGCAGACAGATAACAGAATGGGAGTGGACAATTCAAAATATCTATGCTACAGAGAGGGGAGGGAAGGCAGATTTATCCTGGAGATACATGAG